ATTTTAGCAGCTAAGATTACTTCTCATTTTTCATATAAGTAGTACTTTTTATTTGAACCTCTCTCTCTCTCTCTCTCTCTATATATATATATATATATAGGTTCGGGTTCTAATGAGAAGACATCTTAACGTGAGAAGTGAGAAGTTACACATTTACCTATTCCTGATGCACTTTTTTGCTAATCTGATGCACTTTTTGCGATGGCATAAAAGTTCCGATTAATTTCGGAAATGTCACCGCGTCTAGCATCACTTTTTTAATATTTTTTGCATTTTCTCGTGCATTTTTTTGCTAATTTGATGCACAGATTTTAAATTGAACGCACCAGATGCATTCTCACTTCTTACGATAAGCACTCTTCTCATTTGATCCTTATTATATATATATATATATATATATATATATATATATATATATATATATAGGGGAGGGTTCTGGTGAGAACCCTCTTAAAATAAGAACCCGTGAGAACCTCCGAGAACCGGTGGTATTTTTGGCTGAAATTTTTTGTGTATGTTCCTCATAAAGTCTAGTTGATCCATACCAAATTTGAGCAAAAAAATCAATCTGGAAGGTCGTCAAATGATTTTTGAAAGAAAACTGGTCGAGAATATACATATAAAACGCAGTTATCTTTCAAAACTCATTTGACGACCTTCCGGATTTGAGTTTTTGCTCAAATTTGGTATGGATCAACTAGACTAGATAAGGAACATACACAAAAAATTTCATCAAAAAATACCACCGTTTCTCGGGGGGTCTCACGGGTTCTCATTTTAAGAGGGTTCTCACTAGAACCATTCCCTATATATATATATATATATATATATATATATATATATATATATATATATATATATATATATATATATATATATATATATAGGTTCAAATGAGAATATCATCTTAGGAGGTAATTAAGAATAGATAGGAACCATTAGATCACACCATATTATTCTTATACAAATTCTATTGACTAAGGTCATTCATGTCAATTTTTCTTCCTATTTAATTTGCAGAATCATACGACACTCTCTCAAAATCATGACACTTTATCTCTTTCCTTAACAGTTTTTTGAGATAAGGGTTTTGTTTCCATATCAAATTCATCACTTTATTATGTTTTCCACAGTTCATTCTTTCCTTTCCCTGTGCCGATTTTGTTTCAGAAAAGTGTCCGCTCCCCCTGGATTTCAATGAAGCAAGACTATTAATCGCAATGCGTGTGCCACCGATTTTTATCTTCCCCTCTGTTGCCGCTTCTACCATCTCATTGAGCACCGGGAAGAGCTTTCTTTCCATGAATTTTGATTCAAAAAATATATCTCCCCCTACAAATTAAGTGCTTGTTGAATCCACTTTTATTATGCTTCATTCATATTTATTAATGATTTATTTACTTTCAGAAGATTTTATGACTTAATATTGATGCATATTTGAGGTTTCAATTTATGTTGATATGGTTCTGCATTTAATAATTTCTGAGATATTATTTAAATGCTAGTAGTTGAATTGGATGGTATAATAAATCTTTGTTCTTGCACTTTTACATGGTGTTGCGCGATTTCTAGATTTATAGATTTGCACTAATATAATTTTTAAATTTGTAGATTTGCACTAATAATTAGTGCACCTAAATTTTCATGTAATGCATTTTACATGTGTATTATGGGACACTTTCATGAAATTTATCAATTTTTAAATAATATAAAAAAATCTGTTAAACTTCTTATGCACTATCCATAATCTGTTCATGCACTTTTAATTAGTTTTTAACTTTACTTAATTTTTTGTTAATACAGATGACATGAGAAGATACTATCATAGTGGAGCAAGTATGATGCTTTTGGAGGAAAAATGCATTTCATTTTGTAAAAAAGTGCCAATATGAAATTTTAGAAAGTGTGATATGTAACAGTGCACTTTTATATATATTTCAATGCACACACTAAAAGTGCATTTTATTAGGTAAGAGTGACAATGTAGAAATTCATGAAGTGTAATATAATAGTGCACCTTCGTATATATCTAAAATGCACGCGATAGTTGATAGTTTATACCCTTTTATATTTATATTCAATTCCATTTAAAACATGTATGCATGTGCACAACCACATGTGGAAAGTGTACATTAATGTTAGAGAAAGTTTAAATAAAAAACTAAAGTGCAAATTAACTCAATAAGTATCTCGTTTCCCTTGAATTGATGTTGCATTATATTTTGAATCAAAGTGCATTTATTTAACATTGGAGTGCAAAACTGCAAAACTAAATGGATAATTCATTTTGAATAAAGTTTTTTTTTATCAAATTAGTTATCTGAATTATATGAGAGAGAATACTAAATTTGAAAATAAAATTTAATAAGAAAATTTAATAAGAAAATTAAAGTGAATTATTATTTGAAAACAATTAATGCAACCTTCACAATTACAAAGTGCAAATGAACATGGATAATGGTGCACTCACAAATTGACAAATTTAATTAAATTTCTTGATTGTATTTATTAGTTAAAATAACAACCTAAATAAATCAACTATTAAAGGAAAATAATAATTTGGATTAATTGGTTGCACATATTGAAGTTAATGATTCGATTCTCTATACATGGAAACTTGAGCTACGGTTGTTTACTACTCAAATTAAATGATGATGGCTTTTACCCTTCTACCCTTAAGGCTAAAACCGTTCTTTTTAGAATAATAATAGCCATGTAAAGTTCAACATAATTACCATGATACCACAATTGATTTGTATTCAATCGCAGCCTTTGATTTTATATATTTAATGGATAGATTTCATTCTTATTTCTCTCCTGGGAGACTATTCTCACCTGAAGCTTCCCCTATATATATATATATATATATATATATATATATATATATATATATATATATATATATATATATATATATATATATATTAAAGATCAAATGAGAACCAGGCTTAACGTGAGAACACCACAATTGCCCCAACGTGTTTCACAACGAAGCTTATATATTGCACTTTTTCGTGTTTTCACAATATTTACCAGAATGCCACCGTGTTTATTTAATATAGGCTTAATTCGAGAAAATTGAAAATCTGCAATAGAATAGCTCCGTTGTGCACCACATTGATTTAAATGTGAGCGTTCTCACGTTAAGCATCGTTCTCACTGGAACTGCACCCTATATATATATATATCCCTATATATATATATATATATATGTGTGTGTGTGTGTGTGTGTGTGTGTGTGTGAGCGTTCTCACTCGAACCGCACCCTATATATATAGGAGACGGTTCTTGTGAGAAAGAAGTCTTAGGAGAGAAATAAGAAGAAAGAATGGCCTCTATATTACTATTACACTTTGGAATTCCAAAAACATGATTCCTTTTTATTTTCCTAAAAAGTGACCTCAGTCATTAATGCCGTACCTCTATCCAATTTCAACGCACCTGTATTTGCATTCTTTCCGCCGTTTTCCTCTCTTCCATTAACGCCATTAACGCACTTGCTCATTTTCTACCAACTTCATCTTTTTTCTTACTATTTTTCCTCTTCTACGGTATATCTATCTTTCTCTCGACGGCGCTACATCTCTGTCGCATTCATTGAACTTCAATTAAGCAATTGTTCGGCTCTCGCAGGTAAGCAGTACAAATTCTTCAATTTTCTTGCGAATATCATGTTTAATATATGATTTCTTTACATTTTCTACTGTTATTTTCGATTTCCATGTCTTTCTCACTCTAAAACCCTAATCTAGAACTCCAATATGGACAGTTCAATGCATAAAAGATAAACATTACTTCATATTTGAATCCCTCTTACGTTTCTGTGTCCATGGTTCTTGCATGTTGTTTTTTTGCCTTTAAATTAACTTAAATGTGTTATTCATTTGTTGACATGATTTTTTTTCTGAATGATTTGTTGTTGCCTTGGTCTCGGAGTCTTTTTACCCTTTTTGGACTGAGATTGAATGTAGTTAATATTTCATCAACGTTTCATGATTCTGATCTGGACTTCAATGGCAAATATTATGGTTGTTGTTTTTGTGAAATGAGCGTTTGTACTCACGTGTAGCACATGTTTGTTCAAATTAACAATTACATTTTGGTTGGTGATGCATGTTAAGTAGTCACTTAGCATTCAAAACTTGTTCATATTCAGGACAGACATCAGTTTTTTTTTGTTTTCACTGTGTTAGTTCAAGTAGTTACTTGTTTTTAGTAACTGAGGTGTGAAAGTGATTCATACATTCACACTTACACGTACATACTTCACACCTCATATGTACATGAAGACCAGAAATATAATGTTGCAATCTGTACTTCCTCATTTTCAAAAATCACAGTTATTTGTATATTTTTTATTTCATCCTTTGTGTAGTGATGGGTGACAGTGACTTCGAGTCCCCGCATCCCCTTGTACCTTCAGCTTCTAATGGCCTTCATAACGAGGAATTAGTAAGTTTATTTATCCTATATTCATTTTCTATATCACATCACATAAACAATTCATATACCACTTTTTCGCAGTATGCGGTATGACTATGTGCTTGTGTTAATATATTTTCAGGCAGGCAAAAGATATTTGGACAAAGCCATTGTGAATGTCGATTTAAAAAGGAAGGTCAATACCTTTTGTAGGTTGTATGATGCCATCAATCTAGTTAGGTCTAAATTACTTCCTAATCAGGTTGAACTGTTTAGGAAAACTGTTTTTGGGAAATTTCTAGATGCCAAGGAGATGTTATGTTCCGGGCTACTTTTGTTGACGTTGAAGTAGGCAACAATCAGTGTCCTAGGGATTTTGTTTTTGAAATTGAGGGTAGGAGGGTAGTGTTCTCTATATCTCACTTGGCTGAAATTTTTGGATTCAATGTCGTTGATAACATTCCTCAAGTAGACAATGAAGTCACTGACAGGGGTCATATATGGGAAAAATACTTCCCTTCTTGCTCTAAATCTGTAAAGCGAAATGCTATTAAGCAAGTCTTACAATCTATAAAAAGGGGTAGTGTGTCGGATAACGACATAGTTAAGTTGTCTCTCCTACATGTCTTATCTCAATCTTTTTTAGCGGCTGAAGGTCAAGTCACTGTCAAAGGTAAGTACCTTAATCTGGTAGATAACTTGGAAAACTTTAACAAGTATCCATGGGGACGTGTTGTATGGGATGACATGGATACCTATTTTAGAGCATCTGTTGCAAGCATGAAGTCCAATCCTGAGCACTACAATATATATGGATGTGTCCTTGCTCTTCAAATTTGGGCTTTCGAGTGTTTCCCAATCCTGACAGACATTGAACTAGCTCAATGTGTTGACCCAACTGCCCGTCCGCTTTGCTTGAAATGGACTTCCACAACAAAAACAACTGCAGATGTTTTAAAGAACACCATTTTCTGTAAGAAGCATGTAAGTCTACTGTTTATTTTTTTGTTTAATGAATTAGTGCTTACATTACAAGTCATCATCGTAATCCATGACTTCATTTTACTTTTTTTCAATAGTTTGCATTTGTTCCAATGCAAATCCAGAATGCAGTCCTTGGTGAATGTTCTCGTGCTACAAAAAAGTCCAAAAAGTGTGCCCTGTCAACTGCTACTGCCACAATTTCCTCTTCATCACCCTGACACGCCCCAAATCCCTCTACCACACTTCATAACCGTACTCCCAGTTTATCATCTCGCACTCAGCCTACCAAACTCATCCCCCAACCTCTCTTTGTTGCACCAATATCAACCTCACCTATGTGTACCAGGTCGAAGACCAATGTTTCCAAACAAAACCAAATTATCACAATCCAGTCACCTAATGCCCATCCAGGTTCATCTTCCCGCGCAGATGTGACTTCCCATGATGAGCTGAGAGAACGAGTCCATACACTTGAAAAACAGCTCATCACAGTTAACAAGGACATTCTTTTATATCATAAGAAGTTTGACCTTCAAGAGGCTGCCATTGCGAAGCTGCGTGCTGTTGTGGAGAAGTTGGAGTCTACCACAACTTTTACAAATAACACTGTCCAACCAATTGTCCATTCAAATCCTTCACCACCACAACAAACTGATTCTCATGAAACCAGAGTTCCTGTTCCTTCGGACGCCCCATCTTTTCAAATCTCACTCACACCTACTGTCCTCTGTGAACCATGTGCAGACAATGATGAATTGGGGTGGACTCAAGCCATTGACATTGCATATGATATGCTTGAGGGGAATGTAAGTCCTTCATTTTATGATGTTAATGTTTCATTAAACCACCATACCACTTCAATATTCAGTTACTTTGCACTAAGATTTTTATCTTCTTTGTTTTCAAGCAGGTAACTGGATGCTTACCACAGCCCGATCGAAGCACGCCATCGACTGTGAAGATGACAACAACACCCTCAGTACACCCTCTTTCCAAAAAAAATTAACAACATTTACATATTACATTTACCTACCTCTTACACACTTTTTTTTATAACAAGTTACTTTTTTTGTGGAGGTTTCCAAACACGATAAGTTTCAAACAGGCTCAGCTGATAGGGGATGCTCTTACGGCGCTACTGAAATCAGTTTCAATAATATGGAGGTACATATTTTCTAATTTTCTATACCTCAAACTTTTCATCAACACATATTTTTCAGAAATATTTCATTTACATAATGTAATTATTATTCATCTAAGTCACTGCGTACTCACGAGTTACCCAAACACACTACATAAATCACATCTAATGCATTTCTAAGCCATGAATCACCTGTCACTGATGCACCGGTTACTACATTGCGTTCATTCTTTATTCCTACCATTTCAAATTCACTTATTAACCTTTTTTTCACAACTTAGTCACATAGATTACACCTAACCTCTCATGTTTTAGGTTGAATCAGTCTCACTTCATAACTCTGTCTCAATGAATGTGCTCTCACAAGTTAACAACCGCCCAAAACGCAAAGTTGTCGAACCCTCCCGCTTCACACCAGGGTCACAGGCTATTAAAAAAACTAAACAATCAACTGCTCCCTCCACTGCGAACCCACTTGCCGGAAGCCCATTCACTTTGATCACAAATTCTACTAAACGACAAGAATTTCACAAATACATGATGAAGGGTATCATTAGAGGTCAACGGTCTGCTAACAATGCCCACCATTACACGCCCGACGTCGACAAAGACTTCTTGCTTGAACTGGATCCTGGGTTGACTATTTAATGTAAGTCATGGCTATATAAGCTGTATCAATCTGGGCAGTGGCTAGATGCAACGGTATGCACAACAATGTCTACTCTGTCATAAATGTTTCAGTGATTATTTCTTGGTCTCTATCACTATGATTGTCTTTTTATTTTTTTGTCGTCCTCCTTTTGCAGCATGTCAACTGCATTTTTTTCTACCTACGTATGAAAGGCAAGTCACTAGGATGGCCTAACACATTCTCCACCGCAGACAGTCTATTCACAGAACACCTTAACTCCCTCTATGCATTATTCTGTAAAGGGAAAACCACTCCCCGTGTTTCATCTTTGGATGGTTTTTTCACGGATAATGTTGCTGGCGATCCGACCCAGTTCTTGCTGCCATGGCTCGAATGCAGATACGTTTACATCCCACTCAATCTGAATTCTAAGCATTGGGTTCTAGTGGTTTTAGATGTTCCTGCTAGGATTTTGCGTGTCTATGATACCAACAACCGCCGTGCATCTATGTCTAGTAAAATTAGTGATGAAATGCAGGGGATTATTCACTACTTACCATTACTCTTGGGTGAGTTTCATTCCACAGCTAACCCCCAAGTCCCTGCAGTGACTACACCATATACGTGCACTATGGTTAAGAACGTCCCACAACAACTAAATGGGTATGCTTTACTACACACACATCCGCCAAATCACTGTTACACACTCTCATTCCACACACACTTAGTCACTTATCAATGCATACTAATGCACACCCATGTTGCAGTGGTGATTGTGGTTTCCTCATGCTCAAGATGGCTGAAAGCTTGCAGATGGGGTTTGGGATCTCATTCATCTCTCCAGCCACTGTTCCAGAATATCGCGCTAAATGGGCACACAAGCTTCATAGTTACGGTTCAAAACGTGCGGCGCAAAAACATTGAAACTGACATTATTGTTGCTACTCCAGAAACAAAATTTTGTTTACGTTTATGCCATTTCAAATACTTACCTTACATTGGATGTATGTTTTATCCATTTCACTTTTTACGTTAAAGTACTATTTCGACTCTACTGTTTTGTTGTGTGCAATGATATCACATTGCATTTTGACTCCACTATTTTGCTACTGCCTATTTATTTAACTTCACTGCTTTGCAACTATCAGTACCCCTGTTACATTTTATTATCATTCATTACAAAACAACTCCATACATTCGCTCATACAACCTTTTTTTAACATACACTGGGATTTCTCTTCACACATCACATTATTCTTATAACAAAATGGTTACCACTGTAAATCCAGTGAACCCAAAAACTATTAAGCAACTTCAAAGAGAGTATCATAGCTCATGTAACCATTCAATTAACCTTGTACTTCTATTAATTAAAAAATTTCTGTCCACACTAATATACATTCCACAAACAAGTCTTTTACTAACTTCACATTATTTGTGTGACTACCAACTATACACTAACTACGACCGACTACTACACTTTGAAGTCACTACATCACACCAGTGTGAAGTACGTTTTTAGTAATTTATCAATATTACCAACACCACTTACTACTAGTGGACTACAACCACACCACAATTACATCACAAACACATCAACAACAGAGACAATTACAAAACACAAACCAAAACCAAAACATTCATCTTTGCTAAATAACATGTTCCCTAACCTTTTAGTAACCACTTGTAAAACACAGTTACTGCTGAACGAAAACATTCATCTTTGCTGAACAATAAGTTATGCACACTACACAAACATTGACCACAACCAAGCTTATCATTTATTAATATAAATTGTCAATGCAATTTATGTATCCTGCGCTTCATTTACGCATAAGTATTCTAATGAAACACTTTAGTCGCTAAATAGATCACCACATAAATAAACACTGCTACACATAATTGCTATCGTTTAGGTAATCAACAAGACGGACAGTCATAAAAATCTTATTCCATGTTCCTTGGGATGGGATTGTTGCAAGTCTTCTGGTTGTGCCCATACTGTCTACATCTCCCACATTTTTTTTTCTTTGAAAACTCACCAATCGAAGGTATTCTTTTCTTTTTTTGTCTACCAACAGGCCGCTTATCTACGATCGGTGGCTTCACAATGAAGTTTCTTATTTCCGCTGGCACATCGTAGTGTGAGATTGAACCCAAAGGATGTATTGCTCCACGATATGCTTCCACCCATGCACTAGTGCTGTAATATTTTGAAATGAAATCATAACAAGATATCCCGCCCCTAAAACGAATTGCTGCTACTGCATGCACACACACAAAGTCTTCCAATTCAAACTCCTTGCAACTACAACTCCGCGTCTCAAGATTTACCACATATGCTCGGCAGTTTTTGTCAATAACCTCAAATGAAAACGCTGTGCTTGGCCTAACCTGAAATAATTTAAATAACATTTTCCATGGTCAGTCACTGCAAACGTGAGAATACTAGTATTTAAAAAAACTCATTAATTGTGTTCATGAATGCATAAATAACAAATCACTAATACACTCACTATCATTCCCGCCGAGTCACTTAACAAATTCCCAAGCACTTCCTCTGCCGCTGCTGACAACTTTCCTTTGTGTTCTCGCGCTGCTTTACTTCTATCATGGAACCAAACTTGCATCTTGGTTCTAAGGAATTCAACCAGCATTGCTATTGGGTACTCTCTTGCAATTCCATCCACAGAATTTAATGTCTCTGCATTGTTTGACGTCACTATGGAGTACCTCCGTCTTTTAATCTTGCAACGAGCCCACTTTTCAAGTCCAAGTTCTGCCAGGTAATTACGTATCCTGTGATCTTCAGCATCAAGTAATCTAAAAAAATACTCCATCTTCCGTTCTGTTGCAGCTCTTGCCGCTGCATTAAAGAACCGAGTCACCCGGTCTTTTCCCCCACCAAACTTGGAAATAATATTTCCAAGTATATGTTGAACAAAATGCCCATGATCTACTCCTGCATATATTTCTTTAACACCTTTTATGAGTCCTTCATTTCTATCGGACACAATGCACATATCCTCTCTTTCGCCAATTGCCTCCCTTAATTTAGTAAAAAACCACGACCATGTTTCCTTATTTTCACTATCGCAAAATCCAAACGCCAGTGGGAATATTTGCCTATTAGCATCCATTGCACATGCAGACAGTACAGTCCCACGGAATTTAGCTTTGAGGTGTGCTCCATCCACACTAATTACAGGTCTACACGCTGCCCAACCCTCTCGACACGCTCCCAGTGACATGAACATTCTTTTAAAGTAGCCATTTTCGTCTGTGTCCAAACAAATCAGTGATCTTGGATTTGTCTTGTCCATAAGATAACAAAGCATCGGCAACTTCTTATATGACTCGCTATCCGTACCTGTTAGTGATAGCAGTGCTCTCTCTTTGCCCCGCCATTTTTTTCTGAAAATGCCAAAAAAGTGGCATATTTCTCTTTTCGAACGCCAACATTTTCATTTTTTTCTGCCATTAATATGGCATTCGTAATGAACTTGGCATTTTTTCCCCCTGGTGACTGGAGGTGGTGGTGCTGAGGCGGCAGAGGCGGCGGCGATTTTTTTTTTTGAGTTTTTTTTTTTAATTTTTTTAATTTTTTGAAAAACAAATTAATTAAATTTTTAATATCGAAATGTTTTTCTTAATTTTTTAGTATTTTTTACGAATTATTATTATTTTTTATTATTTTATTAGGAATTAAAACATTTTAATAGCTATAAGGGTATAATTGTCCAAGGTACACATAATTAGTCCTATGCAAACATAGTTCATTTTTTGGTCCTATTTGTGAAAAGTGAATAATTTTTAGTCCTATTTTGATAATTAACTCATGAA